ATCAAAGAGCTATTTCTCGGGGAACGTGGACATCAGCGCACAGCTTTTGTCAGCGGCGAGGACCCGAAACACACTTGTTTGCTCGGGGGAAGTGTGTTTCGGCGTCTCGCCGCAGCGAGGCGCCAGTCACGTGGCTCTCCTCAATTTCGTTGTCTGCCACTCCACAATTTCCATTTCGGTGGCCGCTTCTCGTGGCGATTTGCCAGACTTTGTCAGTATATAAGGCTATGACTAGCTCAAGTGCGTACCCTTGTGCTTGAATGGCACCACCGGATTGGACTGTCGGCTGCAGTAGAACATAAAATAAAACAAAAAATAGTTCTTTTTTCTAATTGAGGCAGTTTAGAATTACTGTTATTTATTAGTTTAAGTAGACGCTAAAATAATATATCGGAGGCTCCAAATTTTAATTTTTTTTTCTGAAAATATCCTTCATCAGCCGTGATGGGACGTTTGTTCTACGCAAACAATCTTATTAATTCGATGCGTTTTCTTCGTCCTTACAATAGAATGCACTCTCAATTCTATTGCCTCACCCGTCGCCGAGCGAGCGCGTGCATGGCCAAATGGTTAGCGCGCTTGACTGCCATGCGGAAGGTCTAGCTTCGATTCCAGCCAGCGGAATGTTTTTTTGTTTATTCTTTCAATTTGGCGTTCTCGTAAGTTCGGGAACATTCTCGTCCGATCGAGTTCGGAATGTTCTACGCCGAACGTTCTACGCCGAATGTTCCATAAACCCACGAGGGTACATAAGGGACTCCGCACGGCGAGCGGAGTCAGTCTCGCCCCAGCATACGATCCTGCTGTCACGCCGCCTTCGACGCCCGCGACGCTCTGCTGTTATCTTCTGTTTCCTTTTAGAGCGCAGCTCTTAGGGGCCCGTTCCCGGCTTGAGCGGCGTCGGCGTCGGCGTAACCAAGGTCATCCCAAGGTCACGTGGCCCCCAAGGTCATCCCGAGGTCACGTGACCCCCGAGATCACGTGACCCCCCCCCCCCCCCCCCGAGGTCACGTGACCACCCCCAGGGTGGTCACGTGACCTCGGCAAAATCTTGGCATTTTTTAATGTGTTTATGAAAAGGCAACTTGAAGACCTGGAGTTTATAGTACACAGGAAGCCGACTCACGCAGGACGTTACCTGCGGTTTGATTCACCCCACCCAATGGGTCGCGAAGGTTCTGTAATCACAATCCTACTGACCAGAGCGACGAACATCTGCTCATCAAAGACGGACAGAAAAGCGAAGAACAAACGATCATCACCGCTTAGATGAAGGACGACTACACCGGCAGTTTCATCTCTCGTGTTGCTCGGCGCAATCCTCGACTTCTTTAGCCATAGAACAGCACACGGCTCCGCCCACAAACGCGCATCTCTGTTCCCTATTTAAAGAAAACCAGGGAACTGCCTCCACGTACACGTGGGCTAAAGTAAGTGTTCAGGTGTCCTTCAAACTGGTATCAGCACTTGGACGTATGATGCCGCGACAGAAAGATCGTCCCTCTAAGGAGAGCTAGGAGCGTATTATATTCAATTTCTTGCGCAGAGTGTCCAGCCACCAACATCAGCGAGACAAAGAACCTCCCAGAAATTATTAGACAACACAAAAGCGATGTGAGCAAATTCGACCGCGAGCGCAGCGATGTTGCGGAGCACTGTAAGGACAATGACCATTGAATCAATCGATTTCCCAAACACCCGCATCATAAATGTTGAGTCAAACTTCCACCAGCGTCCTTTTATGGAGCCATGGCATATCCAAACAACACCAGAGAACGTCAATAGGCCCACTGGCACATTACTATGATTATAAGTGAACAGACTAAGTTACCTGACAAGGAAGCGAATAATAGGCCACCACCGTAGGAAAAAAAAAAAAAAAAGAGGCCACTGTGCCCTATCTGCGTATTTTCCTCACTGAAGGAAAAGTCCAGCAGGCTTTGAAACGCCGGGAACTTCTCGTAGGATTTGGATTTGGTGATTTTATTCAATATAAGTTTTTCCCTAACCAGGCAGAACTCTGCCAAAATGTTTGCGTTCAAAACTTTTGGACTGTTTCATTTTTTCCCAAAATTAACGTAAGCCTTGAGACCTCACGTGGTGATATTAACCACCAAAGTATATTTTTGGTGAACAGTTAAAAATTTCTGCGTGGAGGCGTCAATATATCCGTTCCATCTTACAAGAGTCACTGGCATTAATGTCACTCCATATATAAGAAAGTCATTTTCTTACCCTCATACCCATGTTCAACTTAAATAACTGGCTCGAAATTTTGAAAAAAAAAAAACAACAACAATATTTCAAGAAAAATTGAAATAGGAATCAACCATGTTATAAGTGCCTGAGATTAACGGAAACTTTTTTATATTGGTTACAGAGGGTCTGGATGCACAAAACATGCACATTGGATGATTATGTGCCGACGTAAGTACATGAACCCTGGGTATAATGTTTGACACCATAGTAGCAGCTTTTTTCTGACACTGCATGGTATCAATTAATTAAATTTAAAATTGTTACACAGCGTTAAAATTTTCATCTTAATATATGACTAAATAAAATGTTGCTCAGTTTATTTTGTATAAACCATTCTACACAAAAGGAATGTCATAAGATAATGTTTGAACAAAAATACCTTTACCAAACGCCATGATATGCAGTCCATTCTTGATAAAGAAAGATTAAAAGTATAAAAATTGCTTGTGCCTTTAGCGGAGGTTAAGGCTTTTCATTCACCAATAAAAAAACCAGGGTAGAAAGTAAATAAATGCAATGTTTCCATTTTTGTACTGTCCACCGCTCAAGGCCTGAGCTCGCATTTGGTATATGGAACCCGAAGTCAGAATCGTATATACCAAATCGTATATCGAGTCAAAGTTTTGCAAACAAAAAACCTTTTTTTTTTTTTTCAAGCTAAAGTCTTTCGAAGTGGTCGCACTTCATAAAGTAGAATCGATAGACTCTCAAGAATGAGGAGACTTTTTTTTTTTAAGTATTTGGTACCGTCGTTCATACTTTGCTTACCTCAAAGTTCCTCGCAGTGAAGGTAAAGAATTAACATAAGGCGTATGTACTTCGATATCTGCATATCTACTTAATTACGCTATATATTCGTTTCCTGCGTATGCGCAATTTAAGAACTGAATTCATTGCACTGTATAAATTCCTGAGAACCTATAACCCCCCCAAAAACATTCCATGTGTGATGAGTTTCAACAGACGGTTTGGACTAAAAGAAACTATCTGCGCATAAACAATGAGCCTTCAAATTCGCAAGCTTAATTCTCCTGCGCATATTCCTTTTTGTGTTGGACTATTTTTGTACCCCGTCATTTGCTGGGCACTCTCTGCAGGTCGGAGTGATCGGCCCACCGGCTGCTCTTTAGAATGTTGACAAGAAGGCAGTTTCATTAATACAAAAACTTGAAAGAATAAAAACATCGAGGACGAGGATGGAAACAGGACTTCCTTCACATAAAAGAAGTTCTGTTTCCGTCCTTATACACGATGTTCTATTCTTTCAATGTTCGTTTCAATTTAACAACACGCTCGTTTTTAATTATTAGTTTTTATTAAAGTGATAGTAACGTACGTTTCAATATAATAAGTGCAATAACTAATTGTATTACGGTGTTCTGTCTTTTTTTTTTTAACTAGTGGTCCTTCTATTGACCTTATTCGCGGATTCCACAACTGGTGTTTCGAAAGCCCACGATGATGCAGGGTTGAATTTAGAGGTACGGCTCTATTTCTCATGCGTATATTTCGTAATAATTGCAAGGAGAAATTACTTTGAGAACGCGATTGTTGATAAATAGTAGATGAACAAGTTTTCTGCTTCGCACATTTGCTCACCACTAAAGGCACCAAACTCAAGTAAAGGGCATGAGCTATACCCCATTTCACACTAAGTCGGACCCCAGTCGAAGCTTCGATCCGATGGAGCTAATCAGCCTTTCCAAAAGTGCGCTAAAAGTGCGCCAGAAGTGCGATAGGCCTAAAGAAAACAAGCACCATGACAATTCACTTTTGCCGCTGCGTGATTCGCTACATTGCATCGTAGCCTCGGCCGCGCTCGGACTTAGTGTAGGGGTATTCGCAACTCTAGCCCGCCGCTCGCCCTCTTGCGGACAAACGAAGAAACAAAGGAGCGGGGACGGCGGCGAAGACGATGTCAGGGACTCTGGGCCTTGCAAGGCCCAGAGTTTCTAACACCGGCCAGAACCATATGGCAACAGCAGCACTATGGTGCTGCTCCTACCAGATGGTTCTGGTAGGCGTGAACATGCATCATGCAATCTTAACAACAAAAAAAAAAAAGCCGTGCGTTAAAATAGGAACTTCTGCGTTCCGCTTTGCAACATTTTTGTTTTAATCAACATGCTCATTTTCTTAAACCTCGTCAACATCTCCGTCGCCTGCGATATGCTCCTGCCATGACCGCTTCGTATATGAAGCCAAATAATTTAATTTTAGCGCACTGACCAGCGTCAGCGAGCGGGCGCACGGGAAAGACTGGAGAACATCTCTCTGTCACTTCCGTCACCTTGGCTATACCGCCCCACTTTCTACAAGGCGTTGGAGTTGAGAAAAATGCTCGATATTACGTTGAATTATTAAATATCTGATTGGGGAACTTCGGAAGAAGGTACATCGTAATTGTTTTCGCCATGTTACACCCAGGCACTAGAACTCATAGTGACGTGTTAAGATAATGGAGAGTTCATCTGCATGCATCAGATAATCTTTAATGAACATTACGCTTTGATTACATAATCCAGCTCATAATTGTTGACACTTTTTATACCGTAATCATTTCACGTTTTCTTTAAGGAAAAACAACTTAATCCTTATTTCTGAGGAAAAAAAGTAGCCTACATCACGAAGAAGCATCGGGCTTTAGGCAGAAAATTCTAGCCATGCTCTCTCATTAGTTGCTGCATATATTGAACCTCGCAGTGCACGTTGAATACCAGTCATTGTCACTTTTTTATAATATGTGGAATGAGAAGGAGGTGCGAAATTGTGCTTAAATTCTCATCTTGGTTAGGACAACAGATCCTTAACGTAAACTTAAGAAAGTGTATCACCATTGGAGAAGACCCCCTACTCCGATAGGTTGAGGTCAAAAAAAAGCAATTCAATTCGGCTTTTGAATGTATCGTAGTGCAGAGTGTAGCCAGATATATTTTCTGTGTACAGTACTAAGCAACAGTGCTTGTCAGTTTTTAATACCTTCAAAAATCACAATAACGCTTCATGCAGTGTTTATGGTTCAGCTTTTGATGAAATATATAAACGTGTAAACTGTGTGCAGGTGCTAGAAGATTCCACATTAATTGAAAAACGAAGCCTTAAAGGAAGGATATCGCGGTTCAGTCAATCGGTTCTGGACATTTTGGGAAGCCTTTTCTTCAATTTTGGAGAAGGAACACCTTCACAGGTAAATATAATAAAGCTTTACCAGGATATATCAGTGTCTACCAGCACTACGCGTCCTTAATAGCAAAAAGACATCATATGGTTTACTCATGAAAAATTCAATTTGCAACACTCTCTCACTCATTAATTTTGTTATTTCTAAATAACAATATAAATCTTGTCAAAACTACAGCTTGGGCGAGTTGGTTAAATTTTTTTTGAGTTGATTAAAAGAACATAATAGCGGAAAATTGTGTGCAATGCTTTAATAGACATTGAAGAAAACAAAGACAAACAAAATGAGTGAGCTCAGCGCGGTGTGAATGTTGTGGTTTGTGTGGTGCTAATTGTCAGCTGTGAAGTCGGTAACGATATAAAGAAATTGCAGCGTTCGTGGTTACACGCGAAATGCATCTAAAATGAATTGGTAAGGCAAAATAAAATGCTCTTCATGGAACAGATGTCACGCAACGCATATGATGGAGTGATTTTCCCTAAAGCCAGCAAAGTCGTTTATCCAAGTGAAACACGGGCAAGGCAAAGAAAAAGAAAGACAAAGAGGCAGGTGGCGTGAACCCGCAAAAGGGTAAAAAATATTATATGTAATACATCAACCGCTTTCGCGAGATATATATATATTTTTTTAATCGCGACAATGTGGTGTACAAAAGATTTAATTTTATATTCATGCTACCAAAAAATTTCGTCTGAATATTAACTCTCTGCTTTTGGGTGGAAAACGATATGTGAAAGTATCGCTTCAGTCGTGTGTTTATTTTATTTTTTTCAGACCGAGGTCGATGATATGATCTGCTACGAGCACGTGGGGTGCTTTAGCAGCAGGGATCGGTTCACTTTGCCGACATCCTTCCCCGATAGCCCCGACACCGTTAATACGAGCCTCATGCTTTTTTCTCGAACAAATAGGCAAGATCCCGTGTTTCTGGACTATACCTCTGCATCGAAACAAGAAAAGATCCCCAACTGGAGGATAAAACGACCGCTTAAAATAATTGTGCACGGATGGCGGGATAACACAAACAGCAGTTGGATCCATGATATGAAAGATGCGTTGCTGCAAGAGGTATGTCCTACTTTTCTAGATGCAGGGTAGCTTGCATATTTCAAGTTACACGAATCAATGAAGCAGTGGTAGAGAAGACATTGAAAGACTCTAAGCCAGCCTTAATGGACTTTCTGTCCATGGCGTATAGTCTCGATGACGTCACAGTGCCACTTGATGTCATCGCGTCACGTGACGTTACGTTGTGATGTGACATCGCAGACCTATAAATAATATGCATTTAGAGCGTCAGTGTAACTGACGTCATGGAGGCTAGACGCCACGGAAACGAAATTCCCAGGGCTGGCACTAGAAATGCTATGCATTTAAAAGAAAACCCGAAAGACAAACAAACGTATCTGGAACATCAGTTGCGGCACGAAGGTTTTCAACAACTGGGAACTGTGGTCGTGCACAAAATTGTATTTAAAACAAAACCGCCAGATTCGCACGTAAAGACACCGAGCTGTTGTGCTGTGGTAGTGCAAGTATTTTCCCTTTCGTTAGTCGCCCAATGTTATGTTCTTACTACACTTGCGATAAAAAATACCTTGTACAAAAATTCACGTTTTTTTTTTCAATATTGGAATATAAAATATCGCTGCAGAAAATGGTAATAACAATACAATTAAATTTGTAGAAAATATATCTCTTGTACAAACCAGGGCATGCAAGCGCTTATTGAAGCCTCAAAATAGGTCAGCATATCAGCAGCGATATCATAAGCGTCCTTGGCTACCTGACGGGGTTTTCCTTTTTTTATGGGTTAAATCCTTACTGCTCGTAACACGTTGTGTCCTCTTCGATTTATGACATTAGCTTGCGGTAATGCGTGACAGCGTAATGAAAAATTTGAAGAACAAAAAACACATTTGGTTGAGCTGGAACGTTATTGACTATGTATAGCATTTTGATTGTGGGCCCGTGCGTAAAACGCAATATGCCGATTGTAACTTTATTCGACTTATACAATCACAGGAGGACTGCAACGTAATCATCGTGGATTGGAGTAGAGGAGCAAAGACGCTAAACTACGTGTTCGCTGCTGGAAATTCGGCTCTCGTCGGTAGACAACTCTCGCTGCTTACTCAGCGGCTCTTAAAGGCGTACGGCTTAAATGCTTCGAGGGTCCACTGCATCGGACACAGCCTGGGAGGTCATGCTGCTGGATTCTTCGGAAGGCATTTCAAAGAGAAGACAAGCATGCTCATTGGGCGAATATCAGGTATTTATTTTTAGTGAAAGTGAATAGAGGTGCCATAGAAGAAGTAGAAATAAACACCAGAAGGAACTCAGGCGTATCGTCATGGGGCGTCACCGAACGGTCCACGGTGAAACATCACGATGGAATGGGGTGTTAAATAGAAGGCTTAACGCGGAATTGTTTTGTAAGAATGTTGGTTGCTACGTTGAAGTGTGTTAAAGACAATCTCCACCGTGCATTGCAACACTTTTCTCAAAATAAAGTTCTTCGGACGGTAAAAACATTTGCCAAAAAACACATAAAATTACTTTTAAAAAACATTGGGCTTTTAACCTAAACTGTTTCATGGCTTCCCTCACTCTCTTTTCTTTGGTTATATGAAACGGCTACACAGAACAATAATCATTTTAAATTAAGTATTACCGAAACAAAAATAATTATTGGGAAGCAGTTTTAATTGCTACTCAAACGCCACAAATGAGTTAGTATAACAAAACGTCGAGCGCCGAGTGACTTCCCCACCACGGGTGTATCTGAAGTGGCATTCCTCCTCGCTGGTGTCAAGATTTTGGCTCATTGCTGCGAAAATAGTTGTGTGTTATGTCTGACGTACCATAACCGAGGTATTAGCACAAAAACGTATCTTTTTTTGTTCTTACGGAGGCGTGAAATGCTTTCTAAGCAAGCTGTTCCCCAAATTCTAGTTTTAAAACGGCGGTTATTGGGTTTATTGTGCTTCAGAGACGCTCAAACTTAAAAAAAGAAAAGGAATGAAACAAGCTTGTTGCGTGGCGGTGCGTTATGGATAAAAAAATCAAACACTGTTTTTTTATCGGAAAACAAAGAAAACGTTGCACCATCTCGTCAAACCACAACGAGCAAATAGGATCATTAGAAAGCAGACAATTTACAGGTGTCAACGTGACTAATATCGCCCATATTTATTAACGAGTAGAGAACTCTGACTTGTTGTTTCTTAGATGCCAGTCAAAAGAGCAAAATCTAGTATTAATGTATTGGTAATTTATTCATTCTTTATTTCTGGCGCTGATGAGCAACATATTTTCAACATATTTTTTTAATGATGCACTTAAAAGTGGATTTATGCATTATCCACTATTCTTCTATCATCTGCACTCGGACATTTTTCTAGTATTCGGCTTACGGACCGGCTCCCTCGACGTTGGAGAATTTCATGACCATATGTTCTATTTTCTTCAGCATAGGCCCGACAAACGCCGATTTTCGGTCCGACGGCCAAAAGTGCCACTGTAAAACACTGAATTTCGGGGGAAACGATAAACACAAAAATCCCCACCTGTTCGAAGAAAAATAAACCCAGAACACACGGAACCTATGTACTGATGATTTAGTCGATATACTTTCTTTCATTTACTTTTAGATTTCGCTTATATGATGACAAGCTGTCATAAACACATTTTTGTTTTCTAAACTTCCCTTGCTTTTTGTGTTTGGGGCACTGCACACTACCTATATGTGAATGAATCAACGAGAATATGCTGTAACACGTGGGCATAACAATTAACCTTCTCCTCGTGGATTTATGCAGCTCTGGACGTAGCCGAACCTCTATTTAGCGACTCCGGTGTCTCCGTATCCAGCCAAGATGCTCAGTTTGTTGACGTCATCCACACTAGTGAAAGCCACTGGTACATTCGCAGTGGGGTGGGCATGACGAAACCCTTTGGACATGTTGACTTTTACCCGAATTTCGGCGAGCGACAGCCCGGTTGCCCACTTATGGGTAAGACTGCCGTAAAATATTACTCGTTGCTCGTTTGTCCCTCGAGAAATAAAACGTCACTTTACTTTTAAGCGTCCTTATGAAGCGCATCATGCTGGTGATTTGGGCATGTTGGTACAAGGCTAAGGAAAACAGCGCCGAAATGCCACAAGGACCAAGGCAAGAGGGACAAGATAAGGCGCACTCGAAACTGAAGTTCACTTGAAAACAAAAGTATATTTATAGCCATCAAGAAATTCTAAGGTAGTACGTTACGCGTTTGAGATTAGAACTAAAAAAAAACACAAAAAAATATGCATACTGACACGTCATTTGCCTTAGCTACGAATGGACACGAATATCTGAAATGCGGGGTGTGCCGCAACACGTGGTGACTTAGCGTTTTTGGTGGCTATATATAAAGTGGTCCAAGTCACCAGGCTCGATCTAAAATGGACCGTAAAAATCGACGCCTGCCGTAATCTAAGCTTTTCGTCAAAGGTGCATTTCACAGGTCGGTTTTTTCTTGTAACATTACAAAGCGTAGTTCTGTTTCTGTACAAAATAAGGCCAAGAAACTTGCCACGGTCTACGGCGGGCAGCGACGAAGGCGACAGGGGTTCAGTAGCCGGATGTGTTTGGAGTTCTTATTGACAGGTGGCGCTACCTTCTTATCGCGACGGCTCGCGACCACCACGGTTTATTAAAATGAAGATGATCTTTTTGAAATGTACCTCCGGTTGAAAAATAAATGCGGACAATAAAAACAAAACTTAGAGTAAAAAGCGCTTTTGCTGCCAACGGATTTCGTCTGCGTGTCGTCTGCTTTTTTTCGCTGGTCGGCTGCACCTTCCAACGCTGCTCCCGACGCCATCTATCAATACGAACACCAAACACACCCCGCTACTGAACCCCTGTCGTCAGCGTCGCTGCCCGACGCGTAGACCCTGGAAAGTTTCTTGGCCTTATTTTTACAGAAAGAGAACTACGCTTTGTAATTTCGCAAGAAAAAACCGTCCAGTGAGTACACCTTTGACTAAAAGTTTAGATTGTTTGGACCACCCTTCAGTCTTACTTGAGGACCTTCTGGAGGACGATACTTAGTTGTTTTACAATAGCTTGTTACTCTTCCAAAAGGTTTTTGGATTTTGAACACCTTTCACCTCGCAAAGTTTAGAGCTCCGGAAATAAAGCAGAAGTCTAGCTTCGTCTAAATGCGTGAAACGAGGCGGCGGAAAAACGTTGTACTCGGCAATTATTTTTATGCTTCCGCCGTATTCCTCTTACGCACTGTCTAGATGGTTTTTATCGCCCAAAACATTTCTTTTATAAGTAACATTGATTCTTCGTGGGAACGGAAGGAATCTGAGGTGAAAAACACCAGATTTCTTGCGTTGCCGCGTAGAATCGCTGTTGCGCATAAAAGAAATGTTCTTGTCGCGTGCTGAACGATGGAAACGACCTCCTCGCCATTTTCTCCAGCGGCCCTCGCATAATTCGCTGTAGTCGATAACGAAGTTTAGGTGTTTTTCTTGTTACTTTATGAGTAACGTGCATACTTGTGGCTCTGCTGCACGCTCAAAAAATGTGCCACCAATAAATCAACAAATGGCTCAAATGACAAAAGAACACTTATCAGTATACGTGCTTCAACCGAACACAAGACAAAAACTAGAAACACTCCCATGCACGCACCATCTCAAAATGGAGGCGATCCGTTGAAAAAATCGTCTTCTGCGCGCTGCCATCTTTCAATCTAAGAAATGCCTGCTCGTCTACTTACCCGCAAAACACTCAGAGTCAATCATTGCGATTTAGAAAATCAGCTGTGCGAATGATGAGGCGGAACATTTGTTTAGACCTTAAAATTACGTCTGCGCTGTGGCACTACGCAATGCAATCATGACGCTTTGCATTGCGTGATGCCACAAGGCAGACTTCATTTTTAGGTCTAAACGAATGTTCCGCCTCATCATTCTCTCAGCTGATATCCTAGATCGCAATGATTGGCTCTTTGGGTGTTTTGCGGGTAAGTAGACGAGCAGGCATTTCTTAGAGTGTTGTCTGTTGAGCTGTGGAGCGCATTCTGAGCATGCGCTGTTGATCTGCTGTGCGGTATATCGGACGCCGCGCACGCGTCCACAGCTCAGTGACTAAGCATTTTTCGCCCGGGTGATAAGCGATGCAAAGGTTTGTTTCGGGTGAAGTACAGAAATTATTTATCAGCTGGCCTGCTGGTTTTACACTTGTTCGTCCAACACATCTTCAGGATCACAGGGGGGAGTATTTGGAACGGTTGAATTTAACTAGTGTATTCAACAGTAAGAGCGGCTCTAGTCGCTGACGGCAACGCAGGGTCGGGTGAGTCTTCGGAATTTCATTATCGCTCCTCTCCCAGTGAGAACGCGGAATCAGCCAAAGAGAACGCCGAAGAACGAATCACAAAGCAAGAAGCTTTAATCAGCATAATGAGCCACGCCTTGCTTTTTCTAAGGTGCCAGTTTTCTCAGCTCTTCAATCTAATCAATTCCTTCTAGACATAGACGCAATTACAGCATGAATTGGGGCGACGCCAGGTTTGGGTTCGTGCACGTTTTTTCTCAAATAAATAAATACCGATGCTTCGGTTATAAAGTAAGTTAAATGCATATTACTCATGTCTGCCTAAAAAAAAGACCTTAACTTGGTAAACACATAACGTGAATAGTTGTACCGCGTCATGTACAGCGTGTCATTTCTGGCATTTACGTGTAGAGTATTTTCTTCGGCGCAAAAATAAACTATGCAATCTGCGCCCAAATGTAGCGCTAGCGGTTCGAATCGGATGCCGAAGTTTTTAAAGTAACCGTTTTGTCAACCAAGATATAAGTAGGAGTCCGTGTTTTCGGAGTTTATTTTTTGCTAAATTCGAAAAGTGTTTTTCGGAGTTTATTTTTCACTGGAAATTCAAGGTTTGCGGGATTTTTTTATTTTTTTTTTATTCCCAAAAAATTGCAATGACCCTTTGCTCTGAACGAACCTCGACGAGATAAGCGGTGAACTCCATTTTGTTCAAAGTTTCATATATCGAAGAAACCTGAAGTGGCCTCTCCTCAGGACCACTCATTCTGTGCTCTCAGGCGAATTATTAGTAAAGGGTGGTGTCTCGGGTGGCTTTATTTTGCCATCGTGACCTCAAAATTTTTAGTTATTCGGATCAATTCGAATTGACGAAAATTTTACCGGTAAGAGGTTTTCGACGTTTTTTTGGGATTTATCCGATGACACAGAACCCTAGTTATGTGATTTTCTAAAAGTTCAATGAGAGAATGGGGCCTGTTTTTGCTCGTTTCGGATAACTTGCGTCATTCGGCTCCATGAATTCGAGAGCTCCGTCGGGCGCCATTTCCCCTTTGATAATTAGCGAAAATCACTTTTGAATAAGAACGGTTAGCTATGAAACTCTGTCATTTGGATTGGGCAGCTAGCGCTACATCTGGGCAAAGAATGAGCGTTTGGTAATGCAGAGTTTGTATTTGCAGTGCAAAAACTCTGTAAATCGTTTGGGGGACACCCTGAACATATTGTTTGTATGACTAATAGTTATTATTCCCCAAAATCCTGAGCATTCGCCCCTCAGTAAAAAACAAAAACAAAAAACATTTTATTTCCGCGAAACAACGCCAAACATGGTTATATGCCCCCGAAAGAATTGAAGAAAAAAAAATAATTCGCTGTTGTATAATACTGATTGGAGCGTGCCTTTTATTACTAGACCCAAAATGATGATTGCTTAGGATCCTATTAGCACTTCAGAAATATCATACATTTTGCCCATCATAATCAATAACCGTAATAGTCCCGTTGATTGTAATAGCGAATAGACATTTTTCTTGTACTCTAGTCCCCAGCCACTTAATACGCGTATCTGGTATGGGCGACAAAAAAATTAAAGTTTCAACCTGTAAATATTAAAAAAAGAAAAAAAAAACAGATGGGCGGCAAAACGAGAATGTGTGACGGTTGCGCGTGACGAAGACAAAGCTATGTTTTCGACCATACTGGAAGTGACGACAATTCAAGATGGCGGCGCCCTTGAGAGAAAGGTCTTTACAATCATAGCTCACGTCTAAACTCTGAGCTTAAGGTATCTTGTTCCCATTAAAAGAAAACTGTTTATGACCTAGAAGAATCAAAAACAGAATATTCAAAAGTAGAACTAATATTTCTGGTATTATTTCTTTAATTTGACTATTTTAATTTTTGCATTGCAGATATTATTTGTGACCACGACCGATCGGTTTACTACTTCATGGAATCCATCACGAACAAGCAGTGCCACTTCAAGTCGAAACCCTGTGACGAGACATCATTGTACATACATGAAAAAAACTGCGTGGGATCTGGAGCTTCCGGGGAAATGGGATATTTTAGCCCTCACGCTGCTGGACGAGGAGTTCAATATCTCGCAACCAACAATAAATCACCTTACTGCAAGAATAATCAGTATAGAGGAGCAAAGCTTCGTGTGAACACAACGAATCGTTTTCCTATGGTGAATGTTCATCGTAATTTGATTGACTTTACCTAAACTTTTGAGAATGTATACTGTAGAGACAGGCAATCCAGAATTGGCGCTATGAAAGCTATTAGTGTCGCTAAGTTTGAATAAGAAACAGCAGCGTAAAGCATACATGGCGCATTTCCACGAACCTGACGGCACGCGGGATGGATGGTTTTAGCACGTTATGGAGTCCAGACACGTCTCACGTTAATCTTGCGAGGAAACTCTGGAAACCGGATAAGATCGTGACCCTTGTTAGAAATGGCTAAGCGGGTGAATGAAATAAACAGCTTTCACATGGGTGCGATATTTCTAGCGTAACTTTTGATATGTTAGTTATAAAAACGCTTTCATTCCGTGCGTAACGCATACTAAAATAATGAAAATGGGTTTTATTATTAAAGAAGTGTCAATCCAGAGTATAGCATGACAATCGAGATCACCACAAATTTCATATGCAGGCAGAGTTTAAGAGTACAGTTCAGACAACAATGCCTTTACGAAAAAGAGAACATACGAAGTAAAGGTTCTCGATTTATTTTCCATCGCTATCAATCCGCAGAATCTGTCTTCATACTGAAGACCGATGCAAACCTTCTTCCCGTAAGTACCATGATGTTGTTCATTCAGATAAAATTATTTTAACTTAATCCATGATCATTACTTCATTGATATTCACATATATGTTGCGCGTACAAACTGTGATAATACAGCCAAAGAAGACCCAAGAAATTAATTATGCGTCAAGGTTGAAAGCAAGGCCGAGCTTTCTTGTTGAGTGTATCGACAAATAGAACTGTTTATTCCCGAATGGTGTAAAATCTGTCTTCTTTTCTCGATAATAAATTTAATACCTGAAATTGCTTTTACTTTGTACATACGACCTGACCCGCTTTGGCCACACGGCTGGCAGTACGTTTAAAATAAGATAAATAAATAAACCAAGAGGAATCTCGTGTAGGTCTCTTTGTTAAGGCTCGGACTTTCAGAGAGACAGAAGAGGAATTTGTTTGTTTACACCTGTGTCCCTATACTCAGCAAATTTCAAGCTGATGAATAAAATTCGTGCTGGCACCGAAACAAAGCGATAGAAGAACTTTAAGCAGTGATAGAGTGCAAGCGAGCTAGTCATGCATCGACATCTTGTAGGCAGGGAAAGGGGGAGCGGTTGCTTGGAAGTAGGAAATTGGGCTTAGGATTTAGCGGTCTGGAGGTCGCCTTGTGTGTTGGACCTTGGGGTTGTTGTTGTCCGGGTGGCGGTTCCCCTTCCAAAAGTGTGGAGCCGGTGAGTGGCTTATGCTGGCCTGCGTCGAACTCGTTGATTGTCTTGTTTATGCGTTTGTGTTCTGTCTTTCCCTTTCTCTTTCTCCGTGTGTTTGGGAGTCTATTTAGTGGTGTGCTCAAATCAATAAATTACAGCTGCGTTTGAGAGTTTGTTGTCTTCGTCCGTTCTTTTTGTTATTATTATTGTTCCCCATTTCAGAGTCTACAAGATGTAGGAAAATCTTCCCTTTCTGCTTTATTTTGGCAAAACAGTGGTAACAACAACTGCATTTTGTGGTGCTTCGAGGTGATGTTGTACAAATGAATCTGGTGTGGATGGCGTGAGCATCCTTGTATGTAATGGCTCTTTTGAACAAGCCCTTACAGAGCCAATGCTCCGAACGGAGTGTAAAGCGAAGTTCGGGTTTCCTGCGATCGCATACTCCAGCTCTAACTGTGCTATTCCGTATTTCTTCCTTCAAAGCCCGTGCCTATTTTTTGCCCTCTGTACACTCTTCCACCATTTGTGTAACCCTTTGTTGATAGTAGCCACTACAGTAGACATAGTTATTCACTTTTTTAAACAAATTGCCAGGCCATATAATACCCATACGCATGGTGTTCACTTCAGTGGACATATGTGTTTTCGATTGCGACTCATGGATGGCGCCATAATTCAACTGCTGTTGACATATTCAGAATCCATGATGGCAGCTTCCACAAATTCCAGGTAAAGCACGTGCATCCTCGCAAAAGCGTCGTAAACTGTTGCAAAAACGTATTACTCTTCTGTTAAACGTTTTCATGCCTTCGAGTAAGTCTTGAGTTGTAATTTTTATAAACATGAGTGGTCTAATAAGTCTTCATTGTTCAGTAAGGGATCGATTTGTAGCTTGTCCACTCTGGTGGACACCATGAACAGCCGCATCACGGGTTCATGAGCTATGCATAAATTGTATTTGGTCAGCAGCGCTGTAAATATACTGGAATGGTCCAATTTTCTGTTGTAATGAATAATGCGCCATAATTCTACATATTCCAAGAAACAAAATACTATATTTTGTTATGCTTCGTTTTAGAGATAAATGATCTGCTACCAAATCACCTTTGAGAGAAGCAGACATCGATGCTTTATTGGATATTCCACTATCTGACTCAGAAATCAGTGTCCTACTTAAAGACGGACTGCCGTCAGGAAGTGATGATGATCTTTTAGAGAGCGAGGATGATGACATCGATTATGCCATAGAGGACGATCAAGGCAGGTGTGATGATAGCTGGGAAGATTCCAGCCAAAGTGACGACAGTTATGAAGAGGATCGCCACGGGACCCCAGGCTCCACCACCAAGAAAAAAACGTCGAGTTAAAAAAAAGGCAAAGGTTGTTCTCATGGGGCGAAAGGAATCTTTTGCCCCCAGTGCATACCGTCCACTGTAGTGGACATTCTGTAATTATTAAACTACATTTCTCGAAGCTAAGACAAAAATCCTGGATCTCAACTCAATATCAATAGTTGCAGAAACGCAAACTTTTATGATTTTCCTGGATGCTTTTGAAGTGTGCAACAAAGGGGTAAGCGCGCTCGCTCTCTTGTGACGACCCTTAACACTCGCTTATCCTGCGTGAATTGTTGGTGCATTTTGTTCAGCATGATTCACACCCCCGGGGGGGGGGGGGGGGGGAGGTTGGTTTAAAACAAAGCTCTTCCACGTTTCGTCTGGTGACTTTTTATACTGCTGAATTTCCGCGTTTTTACATGCATCGGCGGATTTTTTTTTTTTTTTTGGGGGGGGGGGGTTTGGATGTCTCAAAATATTTTTTCTAATTAAAAAAATTGATGCACATTAGTTAAAAGTTTAGTTTTTGGTGACATTCCAAATATTTGATCAACAAAACAGATCTAAGCAATGTTTCGGCCATAACGTCATACCTTAAGAGACTCCTCCTCCACCGAGTGAAACCCTGGCAAGATACTAAATTGTAACGGTAATGAAAACATGAACAGTAAGCGTTATGATCACTGTCACAGCGATATTTCTACTTTTAGGTAGCTTCATCATTCTCGGAGCTCTCTCCACAGACTTCAGTGGTTGGCTCTCCGCAGGTCCTCTGTAGAAAAAAGTAGACACGCTGGATTTCTTAGATTCTATATAGTAAGGCACCTCGCGGGCACAAAGCCATGGAGATACGGGCCAACGTAAACCACGGAGCGCCGTAAGGCTTAGCGTAAAAACATCTGCCAATATTTGCCGTTTGACGCTTCAGTGCCTGGAGCGATGTAAAAACAGTCGTGACACTTACATCCAGCTGCGCCGCTATACTAAGAACGAAAATAACACAAACTACTTTTGAACTCTAACTTTCAAGAATCTCTAAATGGCTTGGACATTTGTTAGTGCTTCTGTCCTTGGGCTCCGTGAGAAATAAAAGTCCAGACGTAGGCCGCAACAGGCCCCCAAAACAGGCATGATGTCATCTAAAGGAATGGCGGAAATATAAACGATGAGACCATGTAATTCGTCGTCGTGACAAGCATCCTATAGAGACCCACGTTAGGTGATTCGACATCGAGACACCCCAAGGCAGGCCAAAAGCGATACCAGCTTTCTTTTTAGAGTTTCGTATCAAGAACCCGTTTTTCCTTGTGGTAGTAAAGATATAGCGCGAAAGGAAAAGTACGTTCGATAAACTGCCGGGAGCTGTGAATGCCCTTGGCGGCTGGGGAAACGGAAGAGCAAGGTCGTTATCGGCAGAGACGCAACCCGGTCGGAATAAATTTTGTCTCCGCAGTCATCGTTTCGGAGCCGGACGACTGACCTGCTTGCCCAGGTAGGAAAATCCTTCGACGATATTTGCGTCCTAAAGTCAAGTACGTTTTTACTCTATCTGTATTGTGTTTTCAGGTACCTTCAGTTAACATTTTGGAACAGTATAGGAGTGTGCTCATTTCATGAGTTTTTTCGCCTGTTGGATGGATGCCTTTTACAGTTTCGCAGCCGCACCCAGAAGTCAGCTTGAGCAAGTAGAACATCCTCCCGGTGTATCGTAAAGCGGTTCAACAATAAGCGAAAGCAAACTGGTGTGACCGTTTAAATTCGCCAGACACCGAGAGCTTAAAAATGCAGTGCGTCGCCTAATATACTCAACCCTTTCGCTTAGTGATTAGCCCTTTGGTGTTCTCATCAGCTAATCAGCAATTTCGTTGGCTGCGGAGGGTTGATAAGGTGTTCGGGACACGGAACTCTCCACGTTTTTAAGCTGTCAGTGTCTGGATACGACGTGTGATCAAGCTATGACGGAATACTAAAATGGCTTCTCGACCTACAGTTTCCAATCCTTTATAAAGTCGACTAAACTTGAACCAGAAGGTGGAGTGAGCGAACATTTGTTTAATGAAAAAATAACCGAGGATGTTTGTATAGTTTAATTACGTTCCGCGATACCGCTGCAAAGATTTTAAACAATCCGGATACAAAGAGTTGTTTCTTGTGGTTTTTAGCAGACTTTTTTTGTTTTCTTCACACGATTGAAGCAGTTTTACTTAATATGTTCATTAATTCTGATTATCCATTTATTTATTTATCTTATTTACAATTATTAGTGTGGAACTTTAGTTTGCATTCTCTGTAACTTAATTACTAAAGTTGGAAATTATAAAAAACACGATTTATAAAAACTCGAAATTTCACTTGTCCTTTGTTGACATGGCACAGTCACGCGTATTTCAAAACGTTCCTCTCCATCAAGCAGAGAGTTTACATTT